GCAGTTGAAATTCTTAGTTCCGGAAAGGTGTTGTGACCACACTGGATCACAAGTAGCAGAGTAGTGAACTTGAGAGTAGAGAAGAAGTCTGGATTGGAGTTTTTTTTTCTTGTTCTGTTTTTTTTTTTTTTACAAGGTAAAATACAGGGGTTTATATAGTAAAAGAAAAGTAGGCTATGCACAGTATAGCTGTGCAAAAAGAATGAGAAAGAATATGAAGGAAGGAATGTACGCTGACAAATCCTGCGTAGGTAGTACAGGATAAGATTGTCAAAAAAAGGAAAAGAAAGGGATAGAACAATAAATGCTGTGAGTAATGTCACAGGTTTGTACAGCCATAAAGTAAAGTCCAATAGCAAAAAGAGAGCAGGAAAATCATGATGTCATGAGAAGATGCAGTAAAAAAAAAGGGCAAGGCAAAACACTATCAGTATCAACACAGTTCCTTTATTGTCAGTCAGGCATTCTAAAAAAATATGTGTCCATAAAAATGATTCAAAAATCAAAAATAATTGCACTGTAAATGAATGTTCTGCTGAAGAAAAAGAAACTGGAGCCACCGGTCCACCACCTAGTCCAAATCCGACAGTTCCATGGCCTTACCAATGGACTGGTTGTGTTGGACCACCTGATCAAACGAGGGAGGGAGAGGAGTAGTTCCAATTTGGAACAAGTGAGTCCCAGGCAGCGTGTGATAGGTGTAGCTGTAGTGAAGACGATGGACAAAAGATAAGTGTACCCAAGTGAATGGGACAGCAATAAACATGGGCGACGCAAGGGGATGAACCTTCTCCAGCTCAAAAACTACCCACCCACGCTCCAACCAGGCAAGACGAGCGACCGATGTTTTGATAGTATATGATGGCAGATCGACGTCATGAAGATGGACCTGTTGCCCTATTTGGACCGGCCGCCGGGGCTTTGCTGATATCAGCAGTGGCACGTGGTAGTCAACGGATCGGCGACGGAAGCGGACAGGAAGTGGTGACATCAGAAATGGTGGGGGTGCAAGTAAGATGAGGAGGAGGAGGGTGGAGGTGATGGAAAAGTGGATTAGAATGGGGATCCAGAAACGACTGTCAGGTGAGAATAAAAAGGAGAGGAAGGGGCCCATGGTGGGGCTAGGCAAAGGAAGGGGAGCAAGGGAAACGACAAAAGCGAGGGCGCAATGCAATGTGTAGCCAGTGGCGACGCGAAAATTTGCCGAAATGCCGAAATGCGGAAAGTACCGGATGGAAAAGCAAAGGTGAGCGTGACTGGATTGCCTAATAGAGGTGGTGCTGATCAGCCACAAGTTTGAAAAGGGCAATATTAATTACTATTCCATGTGGCACTGTGCCTGTGTGGCGCAAAGGCGAGTCTTTTTGAATATTCGCTTCGTTATTGACACCTGTCCATGCTACCAATCAACTTTGGTGCATGACACCGGCAACCTTCCAAAGCATAATGAACAAGATCTTTGCAGATATGGAAAACTGTGTCATCATTTACATTGACGACCTATTGATATTTACAAAGTTGGACGATGAGGCTGAGTATGATACAGGATCATGCAAGAAGTCCTTCAACGCTTACAGGAATGGGACCTATTTGTCAAACCCAAAAAATGTAATTTTAAAGCAAAGGAAGTAGATTCCCTTGTTATGATAATTGGCCAGAATGGAATCAGGATGGATCCTGAGAAAGTTCAAGCTATACTGAATTGGCCTGAACCTGTTACAATTGACATACCAGCATCTACTTACGCTTCACTTTTTGTACTTTTACTTTTCTTTTTCCAAGTCACATGACTGATCATGTGACCATTTACTTTACTTTACATTTTCGGACTTTTCATAGTCACATGCTAGACATTGGACTTTAAACTTTATTTACAACTGTACAGTACCTCATGTATTTTAGTATATATACTGGAGCAATACATGGGGAGAGACTCAGCAAGTCCTCTTCTAGTGTATACCAACATTAGTATGACAAGTTCCCTCCTTTGATAGGTTGTACACTTCCCTTTCCTCCACTGAGTTATTATTGTGGTTGTGCTCCAGTGCCCCAAGGCTGTGTCTTGTTGGTGTTGTCACAGAACCTACTCGCATCGAAGGAGTTAGGGCCTTCCTGGGCTTAGGCAATTTCTACCGAAGGTTTGTTGAAAACTTCGTAAAAATAACAAGACCGTTGAACAATCTCACTAAAAAGGACGTTGTCTGGCACTATGGTGCCAAGGAACAAGAAGCTTTTGATAAGCTTAAATAGGCATTTACAACAGCACCCATATTAGCATTTCCAGAATTAGACAAAGAGTTCCGGCTAGAAACTGACTCTTCTGATTTTGCTACTGGGGCTGTTCTGTCAATTAAATGCCCTGATAATCTTTGGAGGCCTTGTGCCTATTTATTGCATAGCTTGTCGCCTACAGAGCACAACTATCAAATTTACGATAAAGAGATGCTGGCCATCATTAGAGCTCTATAGAGCATGGCAGCACTACTTAGAAGGTGCTAGACACCAATTCGAAATTTGGACCGATCATAAAAATCTGGAGTATTTTATGATGGCCCGAGACTTGAACCAAAGACAGGCCCGCTATGCGGTGTACTTGTCTAGGTGTAATTATAAACTAATTCATAAGCATGGTGCTTCTATGGGAAAAGCGGATGCTTTATCCAGAAGAGAGGATCATGCCAATGGCATTGAAGATGACAACAAAGGTGTCACCCTAATAGATCAATCCAGGGTGGCCAATATTTGAATCGGGCAGGATTCCGAACTTCTAGAAGTTTTCAGGAAAGACCTCTCCTCAGAAGAGAAGGCACGCCTTGATGGCAATTTACATTATTTATGGGAAGATGGGCTCTTCCATTACAAAGATAAAATATATTTGCCTGAGTCAGCAAGGATCAAGGCAATAGACGACACTCCAGTGGCTGGGCACCCTGGGTGGCAACGAACCATAGAGTTGATCTCCAGAAATTACATGTGGCCTGGCATGGTCAAAGACATACAGGAATACGTACAATCCTGTCTGAGATGTGCCATGGCAAAGAATTTGCATCAACCACATGACTACTTGTTGTGCTAGAGGGCCCATGGGTGCAGGAAGATTAGTTCAGGCTAATGAATCCCGTTTCGGGTCTTCAGAGGTCCAGATATCCGGTCACACCATGTCATCAGGTTTGGGCGTCTCAGGCTTGTAGCCTTCAGTCCAACGGTCATTCTTTTGTGACATTATCTTACGCTCTATGGCCTTGGAACGAATCAAACAACTCTCCTCACATTTGTATGGAGCACCCAAAGGAATAGCTGCGCTGAAACAGAAACGGCCAGATGACGTGGTCATCACAATGGCTATCCGCTCACCTCTCACGAAGGCTAAGAAAGGCGGGCTCAAAGACATGACGTGCGTCGTACTGCTAACTATCATGTTTCATCGAGTTGTCGACTATCCTGCTCTTTAATAGCACCGATGAACTCATGTTGGAGATGTTCAAGGTACGTGCCATGTCGGTCTATCTCACACACCACGAACAAACATACCCTAGCAAACTATCTCGCACTCTCAATTTGAACCTGCCTTGGTCGGTGACATCTGTGTGGGGACCGTGTTGACACCGGATCCAGTTTACCATGCCCGAGGAGCAGCGCTGGCAGCAGGATTCCCAGAGACCGTTCCGATACAAGCCATCAACCGCTTCTGTTCAAGTGGACTTATGGCAGCAACCACAATTGCCAATCAAATTCGTTCAGGGCAAATTGAAATAGGACTAGCTGTCGGGGTGGAATCTATGAGCCAGAAGTGGGTCAATATTCGACTGTATGCATATAACATCTATGAACCTCTGCACACAGTCCTGACAAGGGAGGTCCTCAACAAGCTGAGGATGTCGGCGCCAACATAGCTGCTAAAGATTGTACGAAACCCATGGGATGGACCAGTGAGAACGTTGCCGAAGATTACAACATCTCCCGCGAAGATATGGACGAGTTCTCGGCCAAATCATATCAACGGGCTGAACATGCTGAGAAATCTGGCTACTTTGCTAAGGAAATCGTACCTTTTCCTGCCTACCAGAATGACCCAACGAGCGGTACACGCAAGAAAGTTGTGATCCAGAAGGACGACGGCATCAGATATGGTACCACCCAAGAGAATTTGTTGAAAATCAGGTCGGCATTCCCTCAGTGGGGAAAGTCGCGTACGACCGGAGGAAACGCCAGCCAGATAACTGATGGTGCAGCAGCTGTCATGATGATGACGAGGGAAAAAGCAGAGGAACTCGGTCTAAACATTCTGGGAAGACACGTTAGCACTGCTGTTGCAGGCGTTCCACCCCGCGTTATGGGTATCGGTCCTATATTTGCTATACCATTAGTCTTGAAGCATTGTGGTCTCAGTCAGGAAGATGTAGATCTATTCGAGGTTTGTCATAGTATCACTTGTGGTATTTTGGGCTCATAATAACGCTATCGAGATGTATAGATCAACGAAGCTTTCGCTTCGCAGTGTCTTTATTGCATACGAGAGCTAGGAATAAACCCCGAAAAGGTGAATGTGAATGGCGGAGCTATTGCCTTTGGACATCCTCTAGATAAGTTCATCTATTTTGAACTTGGAAGCGCTGTTCTAATGTTATTTTGTATGATTACGCTGTACTGGAGTCCGGCAGATTGTGACAGGTTTGAACGAACTTCATCGGAGGAAAGGCGAAGTAAGTGGCTGCTGTTCCATATATAAGAATGACGTTAATGAGATCACTCAACAGGTTCTGCTGACCTCGATGTGCATTGGAACTGGGATGGGAGCTGCTGGGATTTTCTTGCGTGAATGAGAAGTTCTGTGGAGTCCTCATAAGTCGCCCGTATATATGTCAGCCTCATCAACTGGTATTCATCGAATCCTCCCATCGCTATGATGTACTTTTGCCTTGCGACTGCAGCATATTGATCTTTTTTGCACATGCTATCTTGGCACAAGTTTTGATACGGTGTCGACTATTTCGTGAATAACTCTTACCATCTAATAAATTTGAAGCCTTCGGACCTTGGCCAGATCACCTTAGGCAGAACTTTGAGGAAGCTCTCGGGGTCTTTCAGATGGGGTTTTTATGTCGTGAGAAATAGGTCTCAGAGGCCCACCATCCCTCCAGCCTCTGTAGTCCCCAGTAGCAATTGGATTACTATACTTGGCATATAGCCAAAATCACTGCCAAGAGCCTCTTCAGAGGTTTAATCTATAATTTCTAAAATATTGACACTCCTTGTGCACTCCCTGAAAGCCTCTTTTGCACTATTTGTATGCTCTTTGAGAGCCTCTGTGGGAGCCTCCCCATCAATACATCAAAGGAATGTTCCAGAAGAATGTCCCAAATATGGATATAAATCATCCCTTTATGGTAAACTTCTGTGCTATCATAACCTCACTGTGAGCCTCTCCCTCACTACATCAAAGAAGAGTCTCCCAAATAAGGATATATACTGTCCCTTTATGGTAAGTTTCCGCACTACCACCCAAAACATATCTGCTTTTGGATATGCTGATATAACCCCTATTTTAAAACAAATCTATTTACTGCCCTACTTGATATTTCTCAGGCTAATTTATGTAAAGTATGTGGAGCCAACATACTAACTACTATTCTTAGTGAATATAGGATCAATTCACATTGGGAATAGATTGTAAAATCCAATGTTATGTTTTTTTGACATATAAACATATGTTTGTTTTCCAATTTCTAGGGGAGAATTAGCTCATGGAGGCTTGCTGTAGTGATGGAAATTGCTCCCAAGCATAAACAGGCTTGACTGGACACCATGATTGGCAGGATATATCTGAGAGATCTCACAGTATGTTTGCAATTATGCATAAATTGACATCTGACCTAGAATTAGACATACAGATGCTCTGGGAGCCTTTGAAAGATATGCAGGCCTTCCCAGACAACACATAAGTGTGTCTGAACCACTATAACACCATAATTATGGGTAGGTATACCCTTATCATGTATCCTGAAACATATGAGGATATCACTGCAAAAATAACATAAAAAGTGAAACAATGCATGATATATAACACAACAGGAGCTTCTTGCATGATGGAAATATGCAGGAGATTTATAAATTTGATTTATTCTATAATGCTCATAAAGTGTAGATTGCTGTATGTCAGCTATAGGAACACTATATGTATGTTAATAGTAGATAATATACAAGTTGTAGATCAAACATAGCTTCTAATAACATTTTCCATACCCAAGGCTACTGTACTGATCCAGATGCTCCACAAGCATTATAGAATCAAATTTATAAGTCTCCTGCATATTTCCATCATGCAAGAAGCTCCTGTTGTGTTATATATCATGCATTGTTTCACTTTTTATGTTATTTTTGCAGTGATATCCTCATATGTTTCAGGATACATGATAAGGGTATACCTACCCATAATTATGGTGTTATAGTGGTTCAGACACACTTATGTGTTGTCTGGGAAGGCCTGCATATCTTTCAAAGGCTCCCAGAGCATCTGTATGTCTAATTCTAGGTCAGATGTCAATTTATGCATAATTGCAAACATACTGTGAGATCTCTCAGATATATCCTGCCAATCATGGTGTCCAGTCAAGCCTGTTTATGCTTGGGAGCAATTTCCATCACTACAGCAAGCCTCCATGAGCTAATTCTCCCCTAGAAATTGGAAAACAAACATATGTTTATATGTCAAAAAAACATAACATTGGATTTTACAATCTATTCCCAATGTGAATTGATCCTATATTCACTAAGAATAGTAGTTAGTATGTTGGCTCCACATACTTTACATAAATTAGCCTGAGAAATATCAAGTAGGGCAGTAAATAGATTTGTTTTAAAATAGGGGTTATATCAGCATATCCAAAAGCAGATATGTTTTGGGTGGTAGTGCGGAAACTTACCATAAAGGGACAGTATATATCCTTATTTGGGAGACTCTTCTTTGATGTAGTGAGGGAGAGGCTCACAGTGAGGTTATGATAGCACAGAAGTTTACCATAAAGGGATGATGTCACGACTTGAACCAGAAGCGCTAGTCTGAGCGCTAGTTTCCTTTTTTCATTTTCTTTGATATCTGATCACATGACAGATAAGATATGTTAAGCTGCTGCTTTAGCGCGGATAACATAATACGTAGTTATATCAGATCACGTGGCCATCACGTGACCAAAGTCTAGAACCATTACAAAGAACATCAGTCAGCGCCTCATGGCTGACTTTCAGAAACATATATATAGTAGACCAACATGTACATACTTTCCTCAGTTGTTGATTAATTCTCAATCGCTATTTGTAACGCTACTTGTTTGATTTGAGCCTTCATCCCTCCGTTAACTCGGTATAGGGGATAAGGGTTTTACACAATCAACAACTGCCACAAGTACCGTTTATGAATATAACAGCAACAATCCTAACCACCATCATCGTCACCGTCATCATCATCATCCTCATCCTAAACCTACTTAAATGCTCAAACCAAACTACCACTACCCTCCCACTTCATCACCTACCCACTCGCCCCAACACCATTTTATCATTTTTCCCTGCCAACGTCTCCCCCTCCTCATCCCAAGACTCGTTCGTAACCATCCCCCTGTAAATACATTTTATATCACTATAATCTCTTTGGTGTGGAACCATTGGGATTTTCTCGGTTTTACATAGTTTCATTTTCGATTTCCTCTGACCAGGCCGCGCATTTGCGTCCACCAGTCGGGAGAAGGACTGAAAGCTTAATAAGCTGGTCACATTGGGACAACCGTTCGGACCCCAATTTATCACTATACTTTTTACATAAAATTCGTAAAATACAAAATAGTTACCATACATACACAGTCAGTAGTGGGCTGAAGAGGACCACTTTGACTCAAAGAGAACAGATAGACTATTAGGATCCTAGAAAGCGGTGTATCGATCCAGCTTATCACTGGTGAACTCCTTTCTATGCTTAGTAGAGATTTTTACATTTGGATCGGAGAGCAACACATTTACTCTCAAGATTACGTATTCAAAGGGCAATTCCCCCTACCAGAAATAGAACCCATCAGAATTCCATCCCCTTTGATTAAATCCGAAACTCCCCCTCCTCCCCAACTCACATTCGATGTCAAACCTAGAATATCGCGATCTGCCCGAGCCATCCAACAGCACGGACAGCGCATTTACCAGGGAAATGATGGATTCATTACCCAGAATAGACACTCCCCCCCCGAAAGAAGCGCGATTGGAAGCATACGTAAAACAAGAAGTAGAAAAAGCAATAAGACAAACACAAATGCATTACCAATCACAGCTAGACGAGGCGCTCGAAGAAGTGAGCGTCTTGCAAAGAAAATTAAAGAGGCAGATACCACCACCTCCAGAAAAGGTGGAAAGAAGTAGAACGGCATTGGAGAAACCCGAGAACTTCTCCGGAGATAAGAAAAAGTATAGGGCCTTTAGAGAGTCCTTATTACTACATTTCGAAGACGATGCCGTATATTTCAAAGATGACCGAAAAAAGATAAGCTTTGTGCTATCTTTTATGAAAGAAGGAGAAGCCGCGGCCTTCCGGACCGATTGGCTAGAGAACCGAGTCGATGCCCAACAGCTGGGGCTCGATATTACGAACACATACGGAAGTTGGCCGTACTTCGCGGACAAAATGGAAGAAAGGTTCAAGGACAGCTTTGAAAAAGAAACTGCCAAGAACGAAATATTGACCCTGTGTAACAACCAAGAGTTAGTTACTCTGGCGCACACAGGAACACACTGTAAAGGTAGTGAAAGATGGGGAGTGGGTACCCCTTGGGCTGCAGTGAGTTAGTTGGTATACAACAGGAGGACTCGCTGAGGAGTCTCCTGGATCTATTGGGGTATATATACTACTACAGGTTTGTTTGTACATGTGTACTATACAGTTGATGAAGGCAGTGGCTGATGATGTCATAGGGTCTAGCCCGTATGGCCAGCTCCACTGCGTGAGAGAGTTAAGTAAAAGAAAGGCAACGCGGCGCGAGAAAGGGAAATGCCGCGTGGTACTTAAAGTATAAGGTTAAAGCGGAGAATAAAAAGGAAAGGAGATGTCCGGAAATTGTGTTATCGTAACACCCTGAGACAGGGCAATGAAACCGCCCAAGCCTTCTTTGAAAGGTTTGAGGAGAAGAAAAGATGGGCGGGATATACAAATAGAATAAACAAAGAGTTCCTAATATCTCTACTCAGAAGGAACATGAACAAGCCGCTAGTAGACAGGGTGATCTACGGCGGGCACATTCCCAGAGATTACCAAGAGTGGAAAAAGGAACTCATCAGAATAGACTATATTTGGAGAGAGAGAGAAAAAGAGAAGAAAGGTTCCGATATCGGGAAGAAACCCTATTCGGAACAAAAGAAAGAAGGAGAGAAGAAAAAGGACGGAACCGGGTATACCTATACCGGTAGCAGAGAAAGAATGGAGGTGGACAAAGCAAAGTTCCGCACTGAGGGACGATGCTACCGATGCGGAGAAAAGGGACATAGAAGCTTTGAGTGCAAAGACGCACAAAAAAGGAAGCCACAATTTAATGTCCGAGAGTTCTTAGAAAAGATGACGAAAGAGGAAAGGGAAAAACTCCTTGAGGGTTTTTAAAGAGGCCAGTGGTACCGCATCGACCGACTGAGCCTAAAGACGTTTTGAATCGGTTTCTTCCTTTGACAGTAGATACATGTGACTCAGAATTGTTAAGCTGCAGCTTTAGCGCGGATAACAATAAAATTATTTCCACTCAGACAAAGAAAGAAATCCGAAACGAAAAAGATGCAGCTAGAGTAAAAGCGGCGCAGAGTGATAAGACATCCGCAGTTACGACGGCGGGCAAATCACTAAAAAGCGCAGCATTTACGATAGAACCTAAGATTCCTACACCCGATGCGGCGAACTCTACGGAGGAAAACGCAGCAGAGACTGTAGAAGAAAGGTCAGGAACCCCTTTAAAAAAACCTAGAACAGAAGTTTGGACCCCAGAGTGGGTAGTAGATAGGCTAAGAGA